TCGGGGGTCACAGGCCAGTTCACGGGTAGCTAGCAGCGTATACAGAGGGTCAGGCAAGGGATGGCAGGTACAAGCCAGGATCAGAACAGGTACAAGCACTGTACAAAGGGTCAGGCGAGGGATGGCAGACGGCCGGGATCAAAAGCGGGAGAAGTCAGCAGCGTTTCAGATCGGGCCGGGGTCAGCAAAGGAACGAAAAAATGCAGGACAGATACGGCCCAGGAAAAAAACACAACACCAAGGCAGAGTCTGCAATCTGGCCTCCCTTAAATCCCCAGTATACATCAGTTCCAGGTGTTAGCTGGCGAAAGGTTGAGCCCCTGATTGCTGGGAGCACCCCTGCCACCCGGGTACTGCAGATAAAAAGGGCAGGTGATCCCACCTTTGCGGGCCATTTCCATTCCTGACATCCCCCCCCCCCAAGGAGCGGCCTCAGGACGCTCCAACCAGTCAAGCTGGGCCCAAAATGTTACACGCGGGTCTGGAAAACTGGGGGCAATCCAAGATTGTGCACACCGGGCTAGGATCGGGCAGCGTGCACACAGGGCAGAGGCAATCGGGCAGGACTCGGGCAGAGGCTACATCGGGTGGACTCCGGGCAGAGGCTATGGGGCTGGACTCTCGGGCAGAAGGCACAACGGGCTGGATTCGGAGCAGTAGGCAATTCGGGCAGAAGAGGGCGTCGGGCCAGGGGGGACCACCGGGCCCCCAGGGGGCGAGCAGGCGTCTCGGCCCCTCAGGCGGAATCGTCGGGCGCCGGACCCCCAGGTGGAGCTACCAGGTCCCTCGGGCCCCCAGGCGGAGCGACAGGTCTCGGGCCCCCAGGCGGAGCGGCGGGCGCCGGACCCCCAGATGGAGCGACAGGTCTCGGGCCCTCAGGCGGAGCGACAGGCATCGGGCCCCCAGGTGGTGCGGCGACAGGTCTCGGGCCCTCAGGCGGATCGGCGGGCGCCGGACCCCCAGGTGGAGCTACAGGTCATGCGGAGCCCTCAGGCGGAGCGGCGGGCGCCGGACCCCCAGGCGAGCGACAGGTCTCGGGCCCCAGGCAGGCGGAGCGACAGGCATCGGGCCCCCCCCAGGTGGTGCTACAGGTCTCGGGCCTCAGGCGGAGCGGCGGGTGCCGGACCCCCAGGTGGAGCGACAGGTCTCGGGCCCTTAGGCGGAGCGGCGGCGGGCGCCGGACCCCCGAGGTGGAGCGACAGGTCCGGACCCCCAGGTCGGGCCCCCAGGCGGAGCGACAGGTCTCGGGCCCTCAGGCGGAGCGGCGGGCGCCGGACCCCCAGGTGGAGCGACAGGTCTCGGGCCCTCAGGCGGAGCGGCGGGCGCCGGGACCCCAGATGGAGCGACAGGTCTTGGGCCCTCAGGCGGAGCGGCGGGCGCCGGACCCCCAGGTGGAGCGACAGGTCTCGGGCCCTCAGGCGGAGCGGCGGGCGCCGGACCCCCAGGTGGAGCGACAGGTCTCGGGCCCTCAGGCGGAGCGGCGGGCGCCGGACCCCCAGGTGGAGCGACAGGTCTCGGGCCCTCAGGCGGAGCGGCGGGCGCCGGACCCCCAGGTGGAGCGACAGGTCTCGGGCCCTCAGGCGGAGCGGCGGGCGCCGGATCCCCAGGTGGAGCAACAGGTCTCGGGCCCCCAGGCGGAGCGGCAGGCGCCGGACCCCCAGGTGGAGCGACAGGTCTCGGGCCCTCAGGCAGAGCGGCGGGCGCCGAGTCATCTGGCACGACAGTGGGCTCCGAGTCAACTGGCATGACCGCTGGCACTGGGTCAGACATTGGATCGTCTGGCTGGACAGCGGGCATCGGGTCACCCGCATCAGGTCATTTGGCTCGACCGCGGGCACCGCATCATCTGGCAAGGCAGTGGGCTCCGAGTCAACTGCTATGACCGCGGGCACTGGGTCAGACATTGAATCGTCTGACTGGACAGCGGGCATCGGGTCACCAGGCATCAGGTCATTTGGCTCAACAGCGGGCACCGCGTCATCTGGCAAGGCAGTGGGCTCCGAGTCAACTGGTATGACCGCGGGCACTGGGTCAGACATTGGATCGTCTGACTGGACAGCGGGCATCGGGTCACCAGGCATCAGGTCATTTGGCTCAACAGCGGGCACAGCGTCATCTGGCAAGGCAGTGGGCTCCGAATCAACAGGCACGACAGTGGGCACCGGGTCATCAGGTACCGGATTGTCTGGCTCGACAGCAGGCACTGGGTCACCAGGCATCAGGTCATTTGGCTTGCCAGCGGGCACCGCGTCATCTGGCAAGGCAGTGGGCACCGGGTCACCAGGCATTGGATCGTCTGGCTCGACAGCGGGCATCGGGTCACCAGGTATGACAGCGGGCACTGGGTCACCAGGCATCAGGTCATTTGGCACGCCAGCGGGCACCGCGTCATCTGGCAAGGCAGTGGGCACCGAGTCACCAGGTACGACAGCGGGCTCTGAGTCAATTGGCACGACAGCGAGCACCGGATCAGGTACCGGATCATCTGGATCAACAGCGGGCATCGAGTCAACTGGCCTAATAGGATCATCAGGCTGGATCAGTTCATCATGCTGGGTAGAGGCATCAGGCTGAATGCCGGCGTCCGGCTGAGTAGAGGCTTCAGGCCGAGTAGAGGCATCAGGCCGAGTAGAGGATTCAGGCCGAGTAGAGGGCTTCAGGCTGAACCACGGAAGGCAGGTTCACCAGTTTTGGATACTGGCAGGATGGTATTGGTTGGAAAGAATTTTCGCTTTTTTTCTGGTTTTAACTACTGGAGCACTGCAAGTAAAACGCAGGTCTGCAAACGAATGGAGCAGCTGGAGACAGAGAAGAACTGGAGGATGGAACAGGAGAGGGAGCAGTTGCTACAGAGGGCTTTTTTACAGGGTTAAAGGCAGGATAGGTGCAGCGAGTGGGAACAGGGTACTGACATGCGGTAGATAGCCAAGTATACTGGGCTGTAACTGGAGGAGCTGTTGGGAATACAGGAGTAGAGTTAGAAGCAGGACTGGGTTTTTGTAAGCTGACTGAGGCTGGGTGTAACAAGTCTGTCCATGTCTGCAGTAGGGGTTGAACAAAGCTGAGCTTACACAAAGTCTGTCTGGTCAATGACTGCACTGCGTTTATACAAACTCTTAGTGTCTGTGGTGAACATGTGGAATAACGCTCCAGAAAGTAACCCACATCATCCTCTAATAACCACACCAGGGACTCTACCTGGTCTGCACTAAATGGTGGCAAAAATTCATCCCTGCATTCGGGGGAACCAGATGAAACCAACTCTGCACAAACCTCAATCAAAGGCTGCACCTCAGAGAACTCTGTGCCCTGATCTACTAGAACATGAGCGAGCCGTATACATTCTAGCAGTTCATCCCGGGTATACTCCTTCAGAGTTTGATAAGCATACTCCCGTCATCAAACACTAGCAGAGATAAATACTCAAACCTCATCCAGATCCATCCTTCCCATCAACAAACCAAGATGGCTTCCCTGTGCAGCCACTTCTGGTCAGGATTGGCCTTGGTGTAATGTCAGGGCTCCCAGGTATGACCAGAGATGTGTGACTGACGCAGGGAAACGCAGACTTCAGATATGGGATAAACAATATAATTTATTAACACTAACAATACAAACATAAACGCAGTGCAATACTAAACATAATACAGTGCAAACAAACCAAACCAACCACCCACAGATAACAGTACATACAAGCAAGCGTCGTCAGGCAGGCCGGGTCAATATCAATTGGGCAGGTAGGTACAGGGGGAGCAAGCGGAGAATGGTCAGGGTCACAAGCCAGGGATCAGAACAGGTAGCAAGCAGCGTAGTACAGAGGGTCAGGCAGAGGGATGGTCAGGGTCACAAGCCAGGGATCAGGACAGGTAGCAAGCAGCGTAGTACAGAGGGTCAGCAAAGGAACAGAAACAGGATGCAGGACAGATACAGGGCCCAGGACAAACACACACCAAGGCAGAGTCTGTGGGTCTGGCCATCCCTTAAATACCCCAGCATAATCAGTTCCAGGTGTTAGCTGGCTGCAAAGTTGAGTCTCTGATTGCTGGGAGCACCCGCTGGCCAGCCCTGGTACTGCAGATCAAAAGGCAGGTGAGTCCCACCATTGCTGGCCAGTCCATTCCTGACAGTCCCATGGTGTGTCCCCCGCAGCTCGTTTCACCGGCTGTCCTGTATTCCAGGAAGCCAGCATCTTCAGTGTGGGCACCCGGCTGTGATAGCTTGCTGCTTCACAGCTGGGTACCACTGCGCATGCGCGAGTAGCTCTGCGCTTCATGAATGGTCCTGTATTCTTCTGGGACCTGTCACGTGTCCAAAAAGACTACAGGTAGGGAGGGAGGACATCTTCCGCTTCCGATCGCCTAGGTGATCGGACCGGAAGTGGGTGCGGGTACCTGTCAAATTTATTTATTTATTTATTTCAGGTACTTATATAGCGCCATCAATTTATGCAGCACTTTACATATATATTGTACATTTACATTGGTCCCTAACCCTCAAGGGGCGTACAATCTAAGGTCCCTAACTCACATTCATACATACACATACTAGGACCAATTTAGACAGAAGCCAATTAACCTACCAGCATGTCTTTGGAGTGTGGGAGGAAACTGGAGTACCTGGAGGAAACCCACGCAGGCACAGGGAGAAACATGCAAACTCCAGGCAGGTGGTTTCCCGTGGTTGGGATTTGAACCGGCGACCCTAGTACTGCCAGGTTGAAGTGCTAACCACTTAGCCACTGTGCTGCCCAAATTCGGGTACCCGCTCTCCCCCCGCTCCCCAAAGATGCCAATCCTTAATTTTATTTGGGGAGCGACGGAGCAGTCCTTAAAGCAGAACTTCCCCTTTTGGGTGGAGCTCCGCTTTAAGCCTGCCAGAGTGGGAGACAGGTAACTAATGCATCCTATTCTTCAGCATTTAATCCCTGTAGTGTTATGGGGCTTCCATTGCAAGGGTTTTTCTTGTTGTGATTCAAAATATTGTGTAAGCAGGCATTGGTACCTTTTTTAAGGAAACGTCTCCCCTGGGTGGATACTGTGGGTTCAGCTAGTTTCTTCCTTTATAATCTGAGGCAGAAAGAACTGAGAAGGACTGAGGTTGATGGGAAGAGGTTATCTGCACTATACTGCTATGTAAGCTTGTAGTCCAAAGAAGTGTACCCTTCACGGCAGGCCTTCGATGGTCGGCTTCCCTATGTTAAAGTTGGATATGAACTATACAGCGTTACTCATGTTGGGTGAAGAATCAAAGCTGAAATCATGTTTTCTTGTTCAAACATTTTTATTAACAAAAAACCATAATGACACAAACAAGGAGACTTTATTAATGTACATTGGACATTGAAGTGGCAGTAGGACATAGAGAAAAAAATGGATGAGGATCACATTACAAATGTCTATACTTTTCTAGCGGAAACAGATACATAAGAGTTGACAACAGATGACATTATTGTCCCAGCCAGTCAGAGTAACGTCTCCCAAGTGCATTAAAGAAATAGGGGGAAGTTTGGATGGGGGTCAGACGGGGGTTGAAGGGAGGGAAGGGGAAGAGGAACAACAACGATGACTCCATGAGCATTCATCAAGTTTACAGCAGACCCCACATGTTGCCTGCGAAGGGCTATTGACAGTATCCTTGGCGCACAGTATACAAATCAAGGGAGAAGGAGTGATTCATCAAAGTTAGGCGGGAGGAAGCGCTCTACCCAGGGGCTCCATATGCGCAAGAATTTAGGAATCTTGTCTAGAATTGTGGCTTCCACCTTTGCATGTATCATGGCTTGTGTTATTCTGGTTTTGACAGCTGCAACATTTAGGGTGGGGGATTTCCAGGATTTCGCTATAATCTGCTTAGCTGCCGTCGTAACTTGCATAAGGAGCTTGAATTGCGAGTTGGAGACGCCAGGGGGGCACTGATTGAGTAGGGCTGTTGTTGGGTCGGGTCGTAGAGTGATAGTGCTAAGTGTAGATATCATGGTGAAAATTTCATCCCAAAAGACTCGGGCCACTGGGCATTAAACCACATATGGAAGTGTGTTCCTGAGTCCGTACAGCCTCTAAAACAGTTGGGCGAGTACATAGGGGTAAATTTTGCGATTCTCGCTGGGACCAAGTACCAGCGGGTTAAAACTTTATAATTTGTTTCCAAAGCTACAATGTTCTGCGAAGATGATTTTGTGTTGGCCCAAATGTGATCCCAATCAGATGGGTCGAGTTTCTTACCTAAATCCACTTCCCACTTATGAGTATACCGAGGGGGGGACGTGGTAATCGAAGTAGTGAAGAG